TTCCCACTTCAGAGCCTTGAAGTTAATCCCAGTTTAGTAGGGGGGCTTTCAAGGAAAACATTCCTTTTAACTGCTGCAATTTTGTAACCCGAAAGAGAGGGAGTGGGGAGGGGAGGACATGGGCTGGGGAGGGGGGTGAGGAGAGAGAAATCATTTGGGGGGTGGGTAAGGCTCTCCGCTGAGCTATCTTCCTGATCATACTGCTTGGTGTGTCGAGGCCAGCGGGCCTAATCTTTTCTCCATCAGCGGCAGGGCAGCGGGGCCACTTTGTACTCGGTCCCCCTCTCACACCAAGGAATCCCCAGTGGGATCGTTGCAATTATGGACTGTGAAAAATCTTCACGCCACTTCCTGAGCAGTCAATCTGGGGTGGGGTGGGGGAGCCCTCTGAAATGCCAAAGATCTGCCGCAAAAAAAAAGGCAGAAACTGAGACAGCTTGGAAATGTAAGCCTATTTAGCTCTTTGACCCACGGTTTCCCCCCTGTTTTTTAACCTTTATTATTTTAACCAAGTTTTTTTTTTCTAAACCAGGAACTGACACACAGCATCCTTGGCCCAAGGGAACAATGTGCTCCACACTAGAATCTGTACGCTTGCAGTAGCCATTTATTTTATTTTGTTTTATTTTAAAAATGACCCTTGGCCTACTACTGTACCTGCTGTTTTATGACAACATTGCAGAGCGAAACTGGTTTCCTTGGGAGTAAGTCACATACAGGTCAATGCAACATATTTCTCTGAGTAGCTAAATTCATTACCTGCTGTTTCATTCATGATCATTGGCCCAATGTAGAAATAGAAAAAAAAAAACAATTGACAAATCATTTTCAACTGGAATCTTCTTCAACTGGAAGTCTTCAACTGGAAACATCTTGATTTTAAACCTAATCCAGAAAGTTCCATACTTTTATATTTATCTTCAAAGTTATCCCAGTTTAGTAACAAATTGAAGTTCTAAGATATCCAAGCACAGGCCTTCATGCCCTGATATCTTCCATATTTGTTGCAAGTACAATTTCTAGGGGGCCTCTCCAGCATGTCAATCTTTTCTTTCCTATTTCTGATAGGAGTTGTAATCTGAATATATTTGGAGGGTATCTGGTGGATTCTTCACAGAATTAGGGTTTGTGGTTAGGAACAGACAGCTAAATTTGAGTTAGTGGGAGAGATGGAGGGGGTGGATTCTGGGAAAAATTGGAAGAGGAGATATAAAGCCATTAAGAGACAAAAGCCATGTGTGTTGTTGGTTTATCTCATAAATGGCAACTCAGTGATTATAAAGCATTCAAGGAGATTCCTCCATATGAATGCACTAGAAATGATGCTAGGAAATTGCTCTAATTTTACCCTGCTCCACCATGCATTGCCCTCCTCCACCACATCCTCTGGGTGCATTTCCTGCTTGACTTTCAAAGTAATGTTTACATGCTTCAGTTGGCCAAGCACAGCTATTCATTGTGTCTGCTTTGTTTTGCTTTTTTCTAGAATCTAAGCAACCTTCAATTGGGCTATTTTATAAGTCATGAATGCCCCCTCATCTCAATAAATTCTGCTACATTGCCTGTTGCAGTGTATTGTTATATACATTTATTATTTAATAAATTTGATAAATATTTCCTATGAACGTAATGGTTATAACACTACCTGACACACAGAACTTCTTTTGTTCAAAACTCAGCAGTTTAAAAAAATATATACTATTTTTCTTTCCCTGAACTATCAACTTTTCTGCTGGACTTTTTTATTTTCCCCTTAAAACATAAGTATACCATCTATTGCGAAAATGACAAGATGGTACACTGGTCAACCTATATATGAGAAAAACAGAATAACCTACCAAAAAAATAGGTAACTTGAAAGAAAAACAACAATATTTCTGCTGGTAATGTTCTACAGATGAGACAAGCGCTATAACTACTATGCTAGTAAAAAAGACCTGATATTATGAATCTGCAGCAGACTTCATTCAACAAAAGGAGAAAACAGCAACACACACATACACATTTTCAATTTATTCCTGTGCCTGAATACATATGCATTTTTTATATTTTAGCTTTGCATATATATATAGTCTGCATTACTACTAATCTTCTCATCGTTCCCACCACCCATCTCCTTCCACTTATGACTGTATAACTGTAACTTTGTTGCTTGTATCCTTACAATTTATATTGATATTGATTGTTTCCTGATTGCTTATTTGTACCCTATGGCTATCAATAATTGTTGTACCTTATGATTCTTGATGAACGTATCTTTTCTTTTATGTACACTGAAAGCATATGCACCAAGACAAATTCCTTGCGTGCCCAGTCACACTTGGCCAATAAAAAAAATTCCATTCCATTCCATTCCATTCCATTCCATTCCATTCCATTCCATTCCATTCCATTCCATTCTATTCTATTCTATTCTATTCTATTCTATTCTATTCTATATGCTTAAATTGGTGCATGTGTTTATATGTGTATATTGAAATATATGTCCAGTAAGACTCAACCATAGGAAGGAAATCAATTGGCTATTACTTTCCTGTGACACAAAGTTGGGAGGATGCTACAGCAAGGAAATTATCCAGCAAATGGGCCTGGTATCCTGCAGTCTGGATGGAATATTGTTGTAAGTGCTATTAGTGTCTCAGTCTGGGCAGGATTTTCTTAAATCAGCTTAGAATCAAGCCTAGCAGAGGGGCAGCTTAAGAATATGTGCAGCTGTGTCTTTATGGACGAACTACAACTCTACTGAAACATGTTTTTTTTAAAAAAAAATAATAACAAAAACAAAGTACCGACCCATCCTCATTATCCTAGCTTTTCTAGTCACTAACATTTCTGCCTAGCAACCTGTTGTATTTTTAGAGCAAAATGCTTGTGACAGTAATATCCTGTTGTCTCCTAGGAAAAATGGATCTTTTTTTCTTCTTTCCTCTCTGGTTATCCATTTCCTCCATGTATTGATTACAGATTGAGACAGGATGCAAGTGCATCTGTCTCAGGTAGCTTGATGGAAATAGCATTTGCAAAGCAGCACTGCCCTGGGGATCCTCCGGTTGGGTGGCAAAACCTCTGAGCACAAGGCAAGGAAATTCATGCTTTCTCCATAGAATGGGAGGAAGCAGATTTCTCTGGCCAAAACCAAAGTTCAGAAACATTTTGCACATAATAAAGAGGTTGCTACCCATTAGCCTGAAAAGAATATATCTCTGCAGCTGCATAGCAGATAGAAGTCCAGCCAGCCAATCATTCCCATGATGTAAAACACGGGTGTGGAACCGTTGCCATCACGTGACATACCGCGACGTTTTCCCCCTTCATGGAGCTGTGGTGGGCATGGCCTGTGTGTGATGCATCTGGCCCACGGGCCACCAGTTTGATACCCCTGACATAAAAGGAAACACTTCAATCCTGTCTTGTCACTAAAATGACCATGCAATGCATTTTAAATGATTCATTTTTTTAAAAAAATGTAGACCCTCCTTGTTGTCCTGCAGTTCATCTACAGAAATATAGGATGTGAATACGATGTCAATCCGTTGCTGCTTTGGGTTGGTGCTTTATATTGGTCAGAATTTTGTGTTTGCAAAAATGAACAATCTTATTGGGAAGATTGGTGTTTGCATAGGTTATGGACCTTTGCTTTGATTATTTGCCAAGGGAACATAACATTCATAACTATATTTATGAGTAATAGTCATGCTGCTGCATCAGCAGTTAGGTGTTTGCCAAACAATCTCAGGAGTAGCAGTCAAGGCACCAGGCTAGAAAGTGGAAGACTATGAGTTCTAGTTCCACCTTATGCACAAAGCCTGCTGGGTGATTTTGGGACAGCACCTCTCTCAATCCTGGCATGAAGGCAAGGGTAAACCACTTCTGAAAAATCTTGCAAAAAAACTTGCAGGATTAGTCCAGACAATCGCCAGAAGTCAACACTGACTTGAAGGCATAAATCTACCCACCCACCATCCATCCATCCATCCATCCATCCATCCATCCATCCATCCATCCACCCATCCATCCATCCATCCATCTTGGAGGACAGAAAGAAACACAGAGGACAGGATAGCAGTGAGGGAGGCAAACGGATCAGACTGACAAAAGCAACAGTGCAACATTGCAATGCAAATCCTCCCCCCTCCCCCCCATTTTCTACTAGTGGCAACGGTGCATGTAACCATTTGCTAGCTAGAGGAAAGCACAAACATCCTGCAGGCATGTTATCTGAGACATCCAAAAAGAATATCTCATTTGAATAGCAATAGGCTCTATCAATGCGCCACGCAGAGACACAACAGACAGTTGTAGCTCTGTGAAAGGGAAAAAGGCACTATCCACATTTTCCATACCATGCGTAATTTTATGTATCTCTATCATGTCTTCTATTTCTTGCTTTTGCTCTTAGCATAAGAATCTAAATGGCTGTAGCGTTTCTTCACAGAAGGGTAGCTAGAGTCAGTGGTGAAATCCAATTTTTTTTTACCCACGGTTCTGTGGGTGTGACTTGGTGAGCATTGCGTGGCTTGGTGGGCATGGCAGGGTAAGGATACTGCAAAATCTCCATTCCCACCCCACTCCAGGATAAGGATACTGCAAAATCTCCATTCCTTCCCCACTCCTGGGGGAAGGATATTGCAAAATATTCATTCCCACCGCACTCTGGGGCCAGCCAAAGTGGTATTTGCCAGTTCTCCGAACTACTCAAAATTTCTGTTACCGATTCTCCAGAATCTGCTGGATTTCACCCCTGGCTTGAGTCCTCTAATAGTTTTGGTTGTCTTGTTTGCACTTTCAGTAGCAATTATTAAAGCAAAATTAATTATGTGGTGAAAGCAATATTTCATTCATTTTATTCCCCTGACCATGGCATTTTCCTTAGCTGTATAGGTTTTTTAAAAAAAATTAGGGAAATATTATTTATATGTATACATTCTCTAAAAAAAATCAAAGGAAGGGGGCAGTTTGAAATCTCTAGGGAACATCCTTCTCAATGTTTTTCCCCTTAGGGTCACTATGATGATGTATGCAATTTTCATGCAAATTTCACTCAAAATGCAGAAATAAAAGAGTAAGTAAACCATTTTGGAATTATTTATTAGGAACTCTGGACTCCTTCATGGAGCATGTAATGAAAATATTGTTTTATTTCAATAGAAAGAACCTGTTCCAACAGATGTAAAACCCAGGTTTGAAGACAGGTAGCTGCTTCACTGCTTTCTTTCGTTTACTGGCAACAAAAGGATAGTTATAAAGATTTTAGATTTCCTGAAATGAGTTTTTGATTTGCACCAAAATCAAAGAATAATGTGGTATTTGAAATGGCCACAGATGAATCAGATTGCCTTCCAAATCATTAAGAGTTGCTGGTCACTAAATGAGGGGAACCTGTATACAGAATCCTAGACTTATTTGGAATGATTGTGTATTCATGTATGGGTTTTTTTAAAAAAATATTCTCTCCCACCTGCTTTTCTGATCCTACCCTCCAAACATATCCATGGGTGGGTCTTTTTCTTTTATTAATCTGGGTGGGATCCTGGGAGGGAAGATTTAAAAACAGCTGAGAAGGAGAGTTAAGGCTCCCCAACCAGAACACTTTAATTCCAATTCCAATTGGAAACATCATAACAAAAGCTTGGTCAGAAGACGTACTTGGGACTATCAGCCTGAGTGAACAGGCGACTTGCTTAGGTAGAGTAAGTTTATCCAAACCCTGACTTATATTTATTGTGCACAAATACAGAGATGTTTAAAGGTGTTCAGGTAAACACTATGGAGGTAAAAAAAGACCGTCAAAAATATTTGCAACAGGCCAAACCGTCCCTTTCATCTTTCAATCTGAGTCCTTGGGTCAGATGAGAGAGAGGAAAATCACTGCCGGTGGCATTTTAAGAACAATAAGCTCAGATAATGTTTTATGACCTCAGTATGCAAAATCTAGCTGAATCTTAACCTGAGGTGTCATGGGCAACTCTCTTCATGTCAGCTAAATGGGCTGTTTGGGGATTTCCGCTGAAAGCCTTGACTAAAGCAATTTCAGGAATGCTGGAAAGGTCAACTGCGCGGATCCTGGTCTGACTTTTCTCCTGAAGAGGAGAGGGCTGTGTTAATAGTCAAACATTTGTTACTGAGGGATAGAGAAGGATCAAGAAAGGCCATTTTTTTTTTCAGCTGTCATTTCCTGATTTTACAGTGCTCATTATTTCTAGAAAAAAGAAAAAAAAAATCAGAGAAAAAATAAGGATGGAACCCTCTCATACTTCTTTTTCTATTTTGGAATGCACTGTTTTCTATTTTCAAATTTTTCTATTTTGGATCTGCACACATAGCAGACCTACAACGTGACCCTCTGCCCTCCTTTAACTACTATAGTGAGTGCAAGGGGAGATTTTTTTCCCAAAAGATCTCAAGTGGGCTGTTGTTCTGTCGTCTAGTTTTAATTCCTATCTCTTTAAAAGTAATCCTTTTTGCTAATGAAATAAAGTGGGGTTCTGAAATATATGTGGAGTAATTATACCACCTGCATGCTAGTCTGTTATTACTTTGATTTCATTTTATTTTAGTTTCTGCCTAAATCCCACCCGCTTTTTTGGAGTGCAGGAGGCCCTAAGCATGCCAGCTCTGATTTTGACAAAAAAAAAAAGGTTACACATCTTCACCCATTTTGAAGAACATGTTAAGGATCACACTAGGCAGAGGGACAGTGTCAAATCATGAATCCTTTCTGTATGGTTGAATCCAGTTTCCATAGTGCGGCATAGAGCAGAAAAGTCTGTACTGTAGTCTGTACTGAAATTCTATACATGTTCAGCACATATAAACATTGATCATGAATTAGCTAAAAAAAAGGTTGGGTTATATAGAATACAGAATAACAGAGTTGGAAGGACCTTGGAGGTCTTCTATTCCAACTCCCAGCTCAGGCAGGATATACTATTTCATACAAATGGTTGTCCAGTCTCTTCTTAAAAACTTACAGGGTTGGAGCATTCAAAACTTCTGAAGGCAAGTTATTCCACTGATTAATTGTTCTAACCTTTAGTAAATTTCTCCTTAGTTCTAGGTTGGTGCTCTTCTTGATTAGTTTCCACCCATTGCTTCTTGTCCTGCTTTCAAGTGCTTTGGAGAATAGCTTGACTCCCTTTTCTTTGTGGCAGCCCCTGAGTTATTGGAACACTACTGATATGTCACCCCTAGTCCTTCTTTTCATCAGACTAGACATACCCAGTTCCTGCAACTGTTTATAAAGAACTGTTCTTTATATGTTTTAGCCTCCAGTCCCCTAATCATCTTTGTTGCTCTTCTCTCTGTACTGGGTTCTTCCGTGCAGTCTAGTTAAATGCTTCCCCCAATACCGGCATTAAAGTTGTTAAACCTCCCCCCCCCAATCCCTAACCTGCTAAAGGCATAATGCCAGTAAATGATGTTTCATATACTTAATGTGTATAGGCATGGTCCCCTAGCTGTGTTATCTTCCTCTCCCATCAACTATGACCATCTGGAAGGAAAACACATAATCAGACTCCTTAATGTGGGGATGGGAAGGAGAAGAAGTTTGACAGATGGCCACAATGTCACTTTTAGCCATTTGTTAACCTTTGATTTAATTATGCTCAGCTGCTTTACATGAGAGTATTCAAAGGGCATAGTGCTACTCTGGAATAGCACTACATCTGTACCAAAGCTATCTCAGATAACAGCTGACGGGCACAGGGAGTGGCACACCATGAAACAGGGGAGAGAGACAGAGACAGAGACTGTCCTGCTTCGTGAAGCAGTCTGCATCCTCACTGTCAATTTGGTAAACTACTTTTTAGACTGATCCACATCTCTGAGCTTAGACACCAGGTGGGGGCAGGAGAAAGTAGGATTTGAAGGGCTGGGTTTTCCTGCCCACCAAAGGAGAACTGCCTTGGATGACAATGTCCAATAATTGAGGGGAAGGCCATGGCTGCAGTACCCAATAAGTACTGGATGATCTCACCTGTGAGTGGGGAATCAGCTGAATGGTTGGTGAATGGCCTCAGATTATACCAATGGCAAAAGTTAATAGGGGCTGTTCTACCTTAGTATTAGAACAACTAAGAATGCTTTTAAAGGTGAAATAAAGCAATGCAATGAAGACCTAGCAATTAAAAGAAATTCTTAGGAATGTTTGTGCCATGGTTGAGTATAAGGGGGACAAAGGTGTCTTTTAGCTTGACTTAGACTTGTCTGTAATTGTGCATAGGTATTGAAGCATACCTGTACTGCAAAGGGGGGTAAGTGTAGATTGCAGACGGTTGCAGATAGACTGAGGTGCACACCTTCCAAATCTCAACTACAAATTGTGTGTCCCAAAGGTGCTTTTTCAAGAGGCAACTGGACTTTCTGGTTTTTCTTTGAAAACATTTTGCTTCGCGTCCAAGAAGCTTCTTGGACAAGAAGCAAAATGCCTTCAAAGAAAAACCAGAAAGTCCAGTTGCCTCTTGAAAAAGCACCTTTGGGACAACCATGACCTGGATGACTGAGAATCTCCATAGACATTACGCATTGTGTGGAGATACACATCCTGGATGCTGATTGGTTGACCCAACTTCCTGTTGGGAAGCGGGCAGACCATTCAGTTGACAAAATGGAGCAGCTAGAGCAGGGGTGTCAAACTGGCGGCCTGCAGGCTGGATGCATCATATGCAGGCCACGCCCATCCCAGCTCTGCAAAGGGGGAAAACATCATGAAATGTCATGTGATGGCAATGTGATGCCATGAGTTTGATACCTGTGAGCTAGAGGGTTTAAGTATAAATGCAACTGTCTTCAAATGACAGACGCATACAGAAGCATATGTTCCCTGATGTGCAATGATGCAGAAGTCTGCTCCAGACTCGAATCCTCTTGGATTCTACTCTACATCAACTTGGCTTATTTTTTTTCCCCTAGTTTAGTCAAGGTGGCTAGGAGTTGTCACCTGTTGTAAGTTTAAACATGCTAGGCTACTGGTATTTTATGTTTTTGTCGTTTTTAGTCATTCCTTCATCCTTTAGCTCTTACCCCTAAGAAAATGTCCAAGCCCAATTACTGTTTCTGCCTTTCCATCTGTTCTTGGTTCAGATCTGCCACAGCCATGCCAACATCATCTGTGGAATTCTTGCCCTTCATCTTCAAAAGATGTTCTTCATGGTGAATAATCAAAACAATTTGTTTTCCCCTCAAACTTCCTATATTCTCAGAAAGGTCAAATTATAGGCCTGAAATTATCTGGGGCCTGACAATATCAGAGTGAAATAGACTCTGATGGCATAGATGTAGGTCATCTTAAATAATGTTAGCAGAGAAGGAAAGATAGTGAGAAAGGAAATTGTGGTTTATTGTATGCATGGATGATGCAGCTATGGATTCTGTATAGGACTACATGTCTTCAACGCAAATGTTTCAGGTACAATCTCATCATATCAAAGTGATGCTCTCTAATGAATGAGTTGTTTAGTATGGAAAAATTGGGGCCTTTACAGCATCATGACAGAATTTCCATTAATGACTGATGTCCTTTGGAGCCACCCAACCAGAGGTGGGTTTCAGCAGGTTCTGACCAGTTCTGGAGAACCGGTAGCGGAAATTTTGAGTTCTGACCAGTTTGGAGAACCGGTCAGCAGGTTCTGACCAGTTCGGAGAACCGGTAGTAAAAATTTTGACTGGCCCAGCCCCCCTCTATTCTCTGCTTCTCAAGTCCCAGCTGATTGGGAGGAAATGGAGATTTTGCAGTAACCTTCCCCTGCCACACCCACCAAGCCATGCCACGCCCATCAAGCCACACACACAGAACAGTGGTGGGTTTCAAAATTTTTAAAACCCACCACTGCACCCAACCATACTTGTACCTCTTACAATAGCTAAGAGAATAGGTTTTATATCTTACCAGTGATGCTGGGGTAATGCTTTTAGCATGCTCTTAAGTCACTAGTAGGAATCTGACAGGGGCCTATAAATGAAACAGAGAATTAGAAGGAAGCCACCACGAACTGGCAAACCATCTTCATACAATTGCCCCAAAACTCAGTGTGACCATAGCCATGAAGGTGCCAGGAATTTACTGAAGGGATTTTTTTTTCTACAACAAAGAGTTGTCACACATTATTTTAAAAAACTGATAATTTTAAAAATAAATCTGATATACGGTGAAGGAAAGCATAACTCATGACCTATTAAATGTACATTCTGTTGTTTATAGATGTAAGGCATACCTTTATTTAGTGTGTAATTTAAAAACAAGCAGAAGCATAATCTCAACTAGCAGATGGGGATCTCATAAACAACACGCTAGTGTGTTTATTTTAGTGTATGAGCAAAGGGAAGAAATATTCTTCTCTGAGATACCTGTCTGAAGGAGCCCATTTCTTGTGACTGAAGGAAAGCAAAGCTGAATGAGCAACGTGGCTATATGGATGGTAAGTCTCTCTTCACTCGCACTCTGTGAAGAGTGCAATCGATCTGCCTCAATGAGGCATTTTGTTTCATGGAAATGCATTGCTGGGCTTCATCCTCACAAAGCTCCTTCCTGAGGTGAGACCTTCTGCCTCTTAGCCACTTTGCTTTGATGGAAGTGGCAGATTCATGTTTGCTGCAGTTTCTACCTCAACCACAAGCCTGCAGGTATAGAAGTCCCACCAGGAGAGTCACAAAGGGCAAAGGTATAATTAAGGCAGGGATGGAGAACCAGGAGCCATCCCGTTGGCACTGAATACTACTCCCAGAATCCCTCATCATTCTTCCGAGTTGGAGTTCCTGGAAATCATAGTGTAGGAAGTTAGCACTGACCCCTCTCCTAGAAAAATGAAATATTCTAGGAAATATTAAAAAGGCAGAATATTTTCCCTAAAAGAGAAATAGAAATCTTAAGACAGAAACTCAGTCCCAGCTTCCTGCCTCCACCAGATACTTTGGTTATTTACAAGACAAAAGGCTGGGCTAGCTTATCTACAACACAAAAGACCTTCACCCTCAGGACATTATAGGATTAGCCCTCACTCAAGATCCAAACCAGGACAAAGCCATTAAGCCATAATAGGAATTGACCAAAGCCCCTTCATTACATCATCACCCAGCAAGATTCAACCAGGCCTGGGACTCAAGTTCTCCTACAATCTACAAAGTTACCCCTGCATAGCCCCATGGGAGCCTGACAACCAATCAGAATACATTCCTTAAAAAGGAACAGGAAGCTCCAAGGCGGGGCCCAAGAGACAGTATAAATCTCTCTCCCTCTCTCACCCATGTGCTCTTTTTGCCCAAACCATGTGGTCCTGTCCACCATTAAACCATCTTTCCAAGCAGTCTCCATATTTCCAGTGTCTTTCTTCCCACTTGGAACTGAACCCAGATGGACATTTCTTCCAACAATTGCACAGCAACACCTGGAGGATCCCTAGCACTACGTTGGAGAAGTTCTAAAAAATAAGAACAGTAAGCATTATTATAGAAAATGCTGAACTATCCAGCTGTAATGCCTCTTTTGTGGATTATTTAAAATCAGTCTTCTTTTTCAGGTTCTTGAATGATTTGGAGATGGGGGAACTTTAAAAAAAAATCCTGATCAATGGAAAAAATTGAGGGTGGGGAGATAACTCAATTAACAGTTAACTGGTGGAACGTCTTGCCTCCAGAGCTTGTGGGTGCTCCATCACTGGAAGCCTTTAAGAAGAGACTGAACAGCCATTTGAAATGGGTCTCCTGCTTGAGCTGCGGGTTGGACTAGAAGACCTCCGACATCCCTTCCGACTCTGTTATTCTATTATTTGTTATATTCATTATAACTTAGTAAAAATTTCTGAACCTAGAAGTAATTCCTCTTTCAGCATATCCATTTGTCATGCTAATCATTCAACGATCTGTTTCACACTAAGCCATAATGTGACTTGTTCGATTTTGGGTATTAACCCAGCTACCGTAGCTTCCAAGTCGGGAAGTGTGTGCTTTGTCATTGGGTCTGAACATACAAAACTGACTTCTGTTGTGACTTAGAAAATATGATGGCTTGACGCGATGTGCAAATCCGGGTGTAGCTATTTAAGCACCACTGGGTTCTGACGCACTAAACATTCCGTCCAATGAAAAGTCTTTCCCTACCATCACTATTCCCAGTTGGGAGGTGTGTGTATGCGTACGTTTCTTCATCTTCTCAAAAACCTTACTAGTCTTTTTAAAGAGCTGTGTTGCCTATGACTATTTTTTCCAAGATACCATTCCTCCAACTGACCAGATGGGGGTGGTGTCTGCTTTGCTTTAATCAACAGAAGACTGTGTTGTTATTGTTATAAAATGGGAGAGTTTATATATTGCTGATAAGATGGGAGTGGGGTGGGGTGGGGGATACATACCAAGACTCACATTCATTTCTGTCTGACTGAACATTGTCGGCATATCGTATTTCCTGCTTAGTTGCAGCCTGGCACATCTCCTTGTTGTGTGTGTGTGTGTGTGTGTGTGTGTGTGTGTGTGTGTGTAGGGGTATGTGTGTTTACATTTGCCTAGCTCTCTGAACTGCAATAATGAATAGTTTCTGGGTAGAGGCCTTACTTTGACTCAGGGAGGAAAAAAGAAGGATGACAGATAAAAGTTATGGTGGATGCGAAAGTGTAGCTTTATATTTCTTTATAGCAATAGCACTTATATACCGCTTCACAGTGTTTTACAGCCCACTCCAGCGGTGGGTTTCACTTACCTTTGCTACTGGTTCGCTCGCGCATGCACCACTTCTGTGCATGCGCACCACTTCTGTGCATGCACAGAGCATATTTGATGATGTCTGGGCGGGTGGGTGGAGCCTCCGGCCGCCGCTGGTACCGGTTCGCCCGAACCGGGGCAAAACGGTAGCAATCTACCACTGCCCCCCTCTAAGCAGTTTACAGCATCAGCCTATTGCCCCCAACAATCCGAGTCCTCATTTTACCAACCTTGGAAGGATGGAAGGCTGAGTTAACCAGGAGCCGATCAGGATCAAACTCCAGGCTCTGGGCAGAGTCAGCCTGCAATGCTACATTCTAATACTTCACTCTTACTATGAAAAAAAAAAGAGAGATGGATATTTGGGGAAAGAACAGATAACTAGTTTGATTCAGGTGATCTTCACAAGGCTAATGATAGCATTGCACCCCTTATTTATATACTCACATGTGAACATGAGGGTGTGTACAAGCAGCACATGAGGATGATGGAAGGAACGAAAAGCCCAAGAATGTTTCCCCCCCCCATCTCTCCAACTTCTCCATCTGTTTCTAGTGTACAGAATATTTTGACAGGGCTTCCTGGAGGAAAACAATTTGTTAGGGTGGGGTGTTGGTAGTGCTAGTGTGTTGGTTCTTCAGTCGTCTGCAATCTGAAATATTTCAGATCTCTTTTAGCCACACATAGAAAGTGTTCATATTATGAGTAAAAGCAGACGTCTTTTAAATATATGTTGATTTTGCAGTCTTAGGATTTGTGTAGGTGCTACACAAATTTCAAAATTAAAAAGCTTTAAAAAAAAACACCCCTCCTTTAGTATACTTGTGCTCCTTTTTGCTTCTCACATTGTTGTATCTGCGGGTTTGCTTGATGAAAAACATCCACCTGGTTTTCCTGGATGAGGATATCTTGGTGTGGAACACAGGCCCCGTGTTAATAAGCTTTATTGGTGAGCATCTGGGTCAGCGGTGAAATCCAATTTTTTTTTTACTACCGGTTCTGTGGGCGTGACTTGGTGGGTGTGGTGTAGCTTGGTGGGCATGGCAGGGGAAGGATACTGCAAAATCTCCATTCCCACCCTACTCCAGGGGAAGGATACTGCAAAATCTCCATTCCCACCCTACTCCAGGGGAAGGATACTGCAAAATCTCCATTCCCACCCCACTCTGGGGCCAGACAGAGGTAGCATTTGCCGGTTCTCCGAACTGCTCAAAATTTCCGCTACCGGTTCTCCAGAACCTGTCAGAACCTGCTGGATTTCACCCCTGATCTGGGTGCAGCAAAGAGCCTAAACATTTTCTTACAACCCGCAATGCTGTCACAAGTGCATTCTCAAAGTTGTATTCATTTTGTATAAGGATTGTCGTTTTGCCAAGCATCGGTTATGATAGAGAGTTGTTCCCAATTGAAGCTCTCCTATCAAGCAACAAGATAGACCCAGGATTTTTATTTTTTTTTTAAATGCAAGTTTAGCTCTGGATGCCAGAATAGCATGCCTAGCTTTTACAAGAAACGATAAAAAGAGTTGGCCAAACAGAGATCAAGCCAATATTAGTGAATCAGATTGTTTAGGCTCACAATCATAGCCTTCCAAGAGTTTCAGAAAGAATAAGATTTTTTTTACAGGAAAATCCAAAAGGCAAGGGGAAAATCTGTCAGAGCAATAGAGAGTTGAATCTGGTATGTTGGCTGGATTCAACCCCATCCCCTTGACAGGGTGGGCTTGTTTGTTTAAATCATTTTTAGACCCACCCATCTCCCCAGTGTGACATTGAGTGGTATACAAGGGTTAAAGCCACTAGCACAAGATTTACAAAAAAACCCAATGCCATGATACAATCCAGTTCCTAAAGAATAATCACATTAACCAGTAGAGCTCATTTAACTGCATGGCCCCAAATGCCTGGGGGACAGCCAGTTCTGTGATGTTTTACAAAAGTCGTAGTGTCAGGGCTACCCTAATCTCTGGAGGGTTGCTGTTCCACAGGCAGATTGCTGCCCTAGAGAAGGCATACCGTGGAACGAATAAGATGACGTTGTGTAATAGAAGAGCCCTGGAGCACGCCCCCTAGATTTGGTGGGTGAGCAGACACAAAGGGAGACAGGCAGTTCTGCAAATAGCCTGGCCCTATGCCATGTAGGAATCGCACCCGGAAGCCCACTAGGGAGCCAGTGCAGCTCACAGAGCCTATATAAGCGTAAAATTACTGGTGCCAATCCATTTCTGGACCAGCTGCAGCTTCCAAATGCTCTTCAAAAGCATTTTGAAGCACCTTAGAGCATGGCATAGTAAAACAAACAGGAGGTAGCTAATGTGAGTCACCATGGGCAAGATCTCCCAGCCCAGGAAGGGGTTGGGGTTGACGTACAAGATGACATCAAATAATATAAGGGATTGTAGCTTTCAGAAAGGAAACGTTATTTGTATTCTCATGCAAGAGAAGATGAGGATTGATGCCCTCTCACCATCTTCTGCAGGAAAGATGCCAGTGCACTGGGTTATACTTGTACTCCAGCTATGGAAAAGCATACAATAGCTTGCTGCAAATAAAATCACCCATTCAGTCACAGCTGCAGAATTGCCTAAAAAGGCTGGTTTTTAACTTCCCAGAAGGGGAAAATGCAGAGTTATATTTGCAGGTGTTCCAGTTGGGTTAACTGCAAGGGTTGCTCTTGAAGTTCTTGCCTGTGCTGTATCTGGGAAAGCTATGCCACCACCTCCCTGCCCCCCCAAAAAAGAGCCATTCTTGCAAATACGAGAGATGCACTTGGCTGCAGATGAAGGAAGAGATGGATTTTGTGAGAGGAATTTGTATCGAGGCCAGGAGATCAAATAGGTTGACTTGGAGAAGGACCATTAAGCCCTGGGCTGGAGATTTCTCGGTGCCATTCTACAAATAGCTAAATTGGTAGCTCATAATTTCACGATCACAGAATTTCTAACATAATTTAATCAAGAATAAGGGGCTAGCACTGTGCCCGCAAGAATGCTGTCTGAATAACAAATCTCATTTATATTCTGAGTTAATAATAGCTTCTAGATGAAATTACACTTGGCTGTAATAGATTCAGATATTACATGCGGGACAAAGTTGTAATCTGAACTCGGCAATTGTGTCCTTCTCTATGCCTTACCTTAATCCTGTCTTTATAGTCTGAAGTGTACACTTGTATGGGATTAAAGAGCTAAGCCAATTTAGCAATTTCATCTTTTAGCAAAAAATATTTCTCAATTGCTCTGGTGTTCTAGCATTCTGCAAAGGCAGTATAGGAAAGAAATTATTTGAGTCTGATCCTTCTCCGTCTATTTTAACCAGAAATTCTGGATTCATCGTGCTAATTCTGGTCATAAGGACATTTCCAAAAGCACATGAAACAAGGCAGTTGTATAACCAGGATGACTAAATACTTTTTAAGAATGAAGTATTTAATACTTTTTAATTTTCTTCTTGAATGAAATATTTTATAACACAACTATTCACCTTCCAGTTTGTAGAATATATTTTACCTGTTTATTTCTTTTTGGTTTTATATTCAACTTTCTCCAGGATCTTGAGGTTCCATTATATGAGTTTCCCTTGAAACTACTCTACTCTGGCATAAAACTGGGAGAAACCACTCTGGCATAAAACTGACCTAAATCAGGAATGGGAAATTATGGCCCTTTTATGCCTTGTGGACTTCAACTCCCAGAATTCCTGAGCCAACCATGCTGAAGCCCACAAGTCATAAAGGAGCCGTAGTTCCCCACTTCTGACCTAAATCATCCAATGATCCACTTGACTGAATGCAGACTTGCCCAGTGGTCTCCCCAGTCCTAATCTAAGAGTTGAAATGCCTCATATGTTGGGTGGATGACTCACTTTTTCACTGTCTTGCTTGATCTCATCTAATAAGGTTTTTAAAAACATCTTCATGCTCCTCTAGCTCTTCATTCAAAACCACATCATTCTTAAATTCCCTGTTCTTTGGAAACTGATCAGCCAGAACGCTGTCAGGGCGACTTCATAAATTGCATTGAATGAGCCTAAAGTCAATAACATTAGAAGAAGCCACTAAAGTCAAGAGATCAAGTCAAGACTGAGGGCGACTTACCACGTAACAGAATAACTGAGGATATTAGGAGTCGATCAAAGTTCAGGAAAACAGGGTTTAAATAGAACAGGAAAACCTCTCCATGAAGAGCCAATAACTTGTTAGAGTGGATAGGAATGAGTCCAAGTCTCGGATCTGATATCATCCTTACAAGGTAGAACAGACTAAGAAACAAATGGCATATAGGTTAGGACTGTAGTACTTTTATTATAACAGTCCTTGTGAAATCGAATACACTCCCCCCTCTCAATTTATTTTGCGTGAACTAGTGAAGAGCTTGTTGGAAGCATTTTCTCTTTTTAGTTTCTTGGCTTGGGCTCAAGCCCCACTTATCTAACTGGCAACAGCTCTTCCATATGTTCTTTAAGGCCATTCCCTATGCCTTCTATATCTTCTCCATGCTCTTACACCTTCGTTGGGTAATAAGATTGCTGAATCCAGTACCCAGTGATGAGAAGGATATTTCATGATTAATCCAGCTACCATTCTTGGTCAATAGAAGGTTGATCAACTTTATTTCATTAGGACGAGAGCTGAAAATTCTTTATAGGTCCCTGCAATTTTAAGGGCTAAAACTAAGAAAGCAGGAATTAAAGCTGGGCAGAAATGTTGTGTAAACATGGAGAAGATTTCCTTCAACATAGGAAAAAAGAATAACTAATAAGGAATTTATTTGAAAAAATGTTTTAAAAAGGCTTGGAAATAAACCCTGGATCTGACATGCACCTAAATGAAACAAACAAAATGTTAAAAAGTTATGATATTTGTGTAGTTACTTACCAAGCACATCTAAATTATATTAAAGTAACCAAAATATCTGTACAATCTCCAAGGCATGTCACAACTTTTGAGCACCCCTAATGTTTGGAAATTGAAAGGGGGTGTTGGCAATTCCTGCCAATTTAGTGTCATCTGCAAATTTGATGAGTACCCCTTCTATTCCCTCACGTAAGTCATTTATGAAGATGTAGTTCCATTAAGGACAACTCGTTGAGTGCAGTTTGTCAGCCAGTTACAAATCCATCTGGTGGTGATGCTGTCTAACCTACAGTCAAGCATCTGCATTTTAGAACCTCTTGGTGATTGCGAGGGCTGTGGTTGAGATGTAGCTCTTGCACACCAATGTATTATATCCAGTGGTGAAATGCAAAATTCTTTGCTACTGGTTCTGTGGGTGTGGCTTGGTGGGGGGGTGTCATGTGACTGGGTAGGCGTGGCCAACTTTTTATTTTTACTTTTTAAAAGAATTTTTTACTACCTAATAGGTCGCGCGGCACAGCTGTGATCATTGGAACCTTTTTTTTTACTTTTTAAAGCATTTTTTTACTACCTAATAGGTCGCACAGCACAGTTGTGATCATTAGAACCTTTTTTTTACTTTTTAAAGCATTTTTTTACTACCTAATAGGTCGCACAGCACAGTTGTGATCATTAGAACCTTTTTTTTACTTTTTAAAGCATTTTTTTACTACCTAATAGGTCGCACGGCACAGCTGTGATCGTTGGGACCTCTTTTTTTACTTTTTAAAGCATTTTTTTACTACCTAATAGGTCACGCGGCACAGCTGTGATCCTTGGAACCTATTTTTACTTTTTAAACATTTTTTTTACTACCAGTTCGGTCGAATCGGTAGTTTTTATCGCTACCAGTTTGCCCGAACCGGAGCAAACTAGTAGAATTTCACCCCTGATTGTATCTCTTGATTTGTTCTTCCAGCCTGAGTTCTTGTTTGCTGATGGGAAGGATTGCGTCATACTGAGCGCTATACCAATCTGTTTTGGTGATAGGATTCCCACTGTCTCAGACTGACATCTATATATCCAGTTTCCTGAGTGGCAATCTCTGAAAAGTTCATGGGTTCCAGATAATTGGTGTAATGAATAATTAATTCCACCAGTACTTGCATTTGGCCATATGTCTTGCTGCATGTCATTATGTTGATATGAGGGAAAAACAGGTCCACAGAATCAATTTTATGTCTGCAAAGGTCATGACTTTTCACAACTGACATGTTGAAGCTAGAATGTGATCCTTTCTCTATTTTGTCCTTTTGTTTTTATGCCAGGAAGAGATTTCAGCTTTCTTTGTCTATTACAGATGCAAGACTAATTAAGATGTATAGTTAAGATCTTTGTCCCGTAGTCTTCCAAGGATGGTACCATATTCGTTGGAGGCTATCTGAAGCACAGAACACAGAGGATTAAATATATGTGAACATATATATATGCCATGCTATGGAGAGCTTCCTAGGGCATTCATCATTTGGTGAAAACTCAGGGGGTTTATGCAATGTGAAAGGAAGAGTCCTGAAGTGATACCAGATGTTGTTGTGGCAAAGTTGAGAAATCTCTGACGCGTGGATCTAAATGGTATAACTTCCGTCAGGATGACTCATGAAGACTTTTCCAATCAGGAGAAGGTGATACCATTTCAGAACTAGTACCAGGAGTGAAATCCAGTAGGTTCTGACAGGTTCTGGAGAACTGGTACTGGAAATTTTGAGTAGTTTGGAGAACTGGCAAATACCACTTCTGGCTGGCCCCAGAGTGGGGTTGGAATGGAGATTTTGCAATATCCTTCCCCTGGAGCGGAGTGGGAATGGAAATTTTGCAGTATCCTTCCCGTGCCACGCCCACCAAGCCACGCCCATAGAACCGGTAGTAAAAAAAGTTGGATTTCACCACTGACTAGTACTACTGGGAATCTGGAAAATTAGTCGCCTGTCAGAGAAAAACTGAAAGGAAATGCCTTTGCAGAAGCAGAAACTGATGGAGATGTAGAGTGTTTAGAACTTCTTCCCTCCATGCAGTTCTAGAGAGCCAAGATTAGGTACACTGGAAGGGGTGTGAGATGCAGTGTGTGGCTAAAGTTAAGAGCTGGCAGGAACAAGAGTGCTCCGGCTAATTAATCAAGCAAGCAGCACTGAAGAGACAGCCAACCCAACAGATTTAATCAGAATCAGCGTTCACTCTCAAGAGTTATTTGCAATTGAAATCGGTGTTTCCTAATCTTTCTCCAGACTGCTGGACCTTGGACAGTTCTATCTACAACCTTTTTTTGCTAGCTTGTCCCTTAAACCTGACTCTGCTGCCTGAACAATTGAGCTGCGAACATTGCTCATTCTATTTGTAATTTATCGTTTTTTTAAATTCCAAACTCTGGGCTTGCTTTTTTCCAGGTACCTGTTTCCCCTGCCAAAGGGATAGCTGTAAAAGGGGAGAGCCTCTGATAAGTCCACTGATGGTAAGAAGTCATTTGGCAAGGTGGCCTCTGCAACGGAGGGCTCCAACTTCTCTCAATATTTAGCAAGTTATTCTAATGTTCTATAAAGTCTGCCTTTACCGGATCTAATTTTGTCATTTCTTAATTGCCCTCTACAATTCAGATCCAGTGTGACTTCTCAAGCCTGAAGAAGGATAATTCTGTAAGATTGCATCCTAACGTTGCAATGGAGCACATTATGGAAAACAGCAAATATTTCAGGGAATCTTCTCTGCTCTTTGGCATCCAGGAAACGTTATGCCTTTTGTTCACGTGCCCTCGAATCTGACAGAGAGAAAGAGGATGAACGATTCATAAAGACTTCTCAGTGTAAAGATTGTGGCATGCTGTTATGTATCATCCAGTGGTGGAATTCAGTTTCTTTTTACTACCAGTTCTGTGGGTGTGGCTTGGTGGGTGTGGCTTGGTGGACATGGCCGGGGAAGGATACTGCAAAATCTCCATTCCCTCCGCACTCCTGGGGGAAGGATATTGCAAAATCTCCATTCCCACCCCACTCCAGGGCCAGCTAGAGGTGGCATTTGCCGGTTCTCTGAACTACTCAAAATTTCCGCTACCGGTTCTCCAGAACCTGTCAGAACCTGCTGAATAGCACCCCTGGTATAATCTATATACGAAACATTACCACCGTTCTTCAGGAAAATGGCAGTCTCTCTGGGCATGACAGGGGCATGACTGCAGGAGACTGCAGGTCTACTGCTAGAGAAAGAAGAGCAAGGGACAGTGACCTCAAGCAGAAGATTTGGGAAGGTGACAGCTAGGTATTGTCCAGAAGGAAGACCAGAAGGAACCCCAAAAGCCGGCTGCATGACTTTGGGACAGTTCTCTTCTCTCAATGCAACCTCCCTCACAGGGTTGTTGCTGTAGGGAAAATAGGAGGGGGAAGGAGGATTAAGTATGTTCACTTGCTTTGAGCTAAAGCAATAAAGGCAGGATAAAAATCAATCAATCAATCAATCAATCAATCAATCAAACAAACAAACAAACAAACAAACAAACAAACAAACAAACAAACAAAACTTTACCTGGGCCAAGAGGTATTCCAGTCTTTAAATCAGTGGCTCCCAATTTTTTGGGCACCAGGGACTGGTTCTGTGGAAGGATTTTTCCACAGTCTGAGGAGGGTGGTTTCGCATGCTACCTAGATCTCATGCACACATGCAGATGAAGCTTCACTCGCTTGCACGGCACAGTACTGGTCCATGGCCCGGAGGTTGGGGACCCCTGCTTTAAATGATCCAGTGTAGGCCACTCTGCAAAAGGGAGCAAGATCAGAGAAAATGATTTTAAAAATGGCCGAGGTTGGGAATTTAATGAACTATACATACTAAGTTATTCCTACTAATCCCTATTATTTGAACAGTGAGCAAAAAGGAAAAAGGCAAATTTCCTTACACCATCTCCGAATTGCCCACACCACTTGCATATGGAAGAGGCAGTTGGATGATTCAGAGCAATGGGGAGATTCTTCCCAGGGGCAACAGAAATCGGGAACAAGTAGGAAACAGCAGCTGTTGCCTGACGTTCCTGTCAGTGGTGGGTTGCTCTTGGTTTGCCCCAGATCGGGTGAACAGGTAGCGGCGGGAGGCTTTGCCCACCTGCCCGGAACTTCTGTGCATGCGCAGAAGCGTCATGTGCCTGTGCAAGCGTGCACGTGCCTACGAATAAATCGGTAGTGACGGATTTTGAAACCCGCCCCTGGTTCCTCTGCTGCTCATTGTGTCTTAGAGCAGGGGTCTCCAACCTTGGCAACTTTAAGACTTATGGACTTCAACTCCCAGAGCTTTGCTGGCTGAGGAACTCTGGGAGTTGAAGTCCACAAGTCTTAAAGTTGCCAAGATTGGAGACCCCTGTCTTAGAGAGATTTCTCGCAAGCAGCCCATAATTTTACTAAAGCCTTCCTGATGAGGGAAAACCAAACCATCCCTAACTGCTATCCTGAATCACATATTCTGGCTTCCTAAATATATTTATTCATAAACCAGATAAATACTCTAGGTGTGCCTGACACTAAGCCACTAGGGAAGACGCCACAAAACCCCTAATCCAGGCTCAAACTAGTAAATTCCGCCTCTTTATCAAATGTAGCCTCTAGGATTTTACTGGCTTGTTGCGTGAACACACCTTTGCGTTCTCAGCATGGAGCAAAGCTAATTTGCCACACTGAAGCACACCAATCACTTCTCTTTGTTAAGGTCTTCTTCACAGTAGGAAACGTCACTTCCGCTGCTTCCCTGAATGGGGAATGACCTTCTGCACGTGCCCAGAAGCCCGTTTTCTCAGCAAAGTGAAGCACAGCTATTTTATTTTACTTTTTTTAAAAAAATATTTTTTTCACAAGCCTTGGTAGAAACCAAGCACCCCTTTGAGGATTTCAACATCTTTTATGAAAGATCACTTCAGTCCAGTGGTGAAATTCAATTTTTCTTACTACCGGTTCTGTGGGCGTGGCTTGGTGGGCGTGGCATGGCTTGGTGGGCATGGCTTGGTGGGCATGGCAGGGGAAGGATACTGCAAAATCTCCATTCCCACCCCACTCTAGGGGAAGGATATTGCAAAATCTCCATTCCCACCCCACTTTGGGGCCAGCCAGAGGTGGTATTTGCCGGTTCTCCAAACTACTCAAAATTTCCGCTACCGGTTCTCCAGAATCTGTCAGAACCTATTGGATTTCACCCCTGCTTCAGTCCATCTGGCTTCGTTACAGGAAATTGTATTTCTGTAAGTGCTATTAATCCTCGTGCCATTCTTTACGATCTGCAGTGCGCAGGGATGACTCAAGGGAAGACCCAATGAAATCCACTGTGCCACCTTGGAGATCCTTTTTTTCCCCCTTTCTTTTTCCTTTCTCCTGCCCCCCCCCCACCCGCCCGAGCATTGGTTTATTTATAGAAATGCTGTATGCCTTGCTACTTCTTGGAAGCAGAAATAGCCCCAAAGTTGTCAGATGAAGAAAGCCAATTTACTTGACAAAAACATCCATTAAATTTATCACCCCTGGATGCTGCAAAATAATCAATTAGCATGCTTCACTTGGGAATGACTAATTGAACTGCCATGTATATAGGCAGTGGAGTCACTTGTGTAAGCTAAATATGAATACCTTTCGAAGGCAGGAAATGTGTTTTAGATAAATTGCTGATCCTCACAGTTTCCCACCCAGCGCCTATTCCCACATTCACCCTTCCCTCTGTTTGTTCTAAAAGCTCACTGATCAAAATACCTTCTGTTTAAAGTTGATTTCCTCCTCCCCCCTTTGTTCACTTTGATTCAACGTTGTATGGACGAATAATTTGGGGGGGTGCAAATAGTCCAATTGGACAATGGCTGCAATTATTCCCTTTCAATACTTTAGGCCTCCCACTTTCTTGGAGAAAGCAAGCATTTAAAGCAACACGACTGTCAAGCCCGGTATACCATAATCCAGGCATAGCTACCGGGAGGCATGAAAAATAGGATCTGAAATTTCCTAATCAACGTTGAATTGGGAACATCTGTACTAGGGAGCTGAGCATACTCCCATCAGTTCAGCGGGGACATCAATCTAAAGAAATATTCATGTCAGTTCAAGGAGCACGTGGATCTTTTTCTGTAGGCAATTTGCCCAATTCATTCAAATAATGAGCAAATAAATAAATCTGCTTCTTCTGTTTGAATGGGAGAGGAAGCCATTATGGCATGCACTGAACTCCTGAACTCATAAGAAGCGAATGAGTCAGGTCCAAAATCTGCAACAAATCACATCCTCTCATAGAATATTTTATGGTTAACCATCTCTTCTTTTTCTTCACTTGCCCCCAGGTAGACCAATTATTCCTTACTACAAAAACAAAAAACAAAAAACTCTCTACTGCAACGCCTACATAACACACGCATACCGAAACACACAGGTACACACAGAAAGGCATACATTCATGCATCTTTATTCATTTTAAATCTAGCACAGGCAGGGGTGTCAAACTTGTGGCCTGCGGGCTGGATGCGTCACGCGCTGGCCATGCCCACACCCGGTTTAGCGAAGGGGAAAAAAATCACGATATGTCACATGATGACAACGTGATGTCGCGAGTTTGACACTTGTGATCTCATGGATCTGACCCACACATGATGATGCAAGCAACATCATCTAGTGGCTCTGTATTTCAGTACAGGTAAATCCTTGACGTACAACCACAATTGAGCCCAGAATTTATGTTGCTAAGTGAGAAATTTGTTAAGTGATGTTTTGTCCCATTTTATGACTTTTCTTGCCACATTTTGTTAAGTGAATCACTGCAGTTGTTAAATTAGTAACAAGGTTATTAAGTGAATCCGGCTTCCCCATTGACTTTGCTTATCAGAAGGGGATCACATGACCCTGGGATACTACAACTGTCATAAATGTGAGTCAGTTGTCAAGCATTCAGAACGTAGATCATGTGACCAGGGGGATGCTACAATAGTCATAAGTGTGAAATATGGTCATAAGTCACTTTTTTCAGTGCCGTTGTAAATTCAAACAATCACTAAATGAACTCTTGTAAGGCGAGGACTATCTGTATTGAGGGCATGGCAGTTCAGTATATATCTGGATATACATTTAGCGTCCATTCAAAGTTACAATGGCATGTAAAAAAGTTATTTATAACCATTTTTCACACTTACGACCTCTGTAGCATCCTCATCATCATGTGATCAAAATTCAGATGCTTGGTAACTGGTTCATACTTATGACCATTGCCGTGTCCTGGGGTCATGTGATCACTTTTTGCAACCTTCTGACAAGCAAAATCAATGGGGAAGCCAGATTCACTTAACAACCATGCTACTAACTTATCAACTGCAGCAATTCACTTAACAACAGTGGCAAGAAAGGTCATAAAATGGGGGCAAAACTCACTCTACAAATGTCTCACTTAACAACCGATATTTTGAGCTCAATTGTGGTCTTAAGTCGAGGACTACCTGTATAGAAAACTTCTGGTTTGGATTATTGCCCTTTCTGCAGGCAGACAAGTTACTTGGAGGCTTGACAATGTGATTGTTTTAGGAATTCTGACAGATGCAGGAGGCAGCTCATTGACTGAGGAATCATAGCATATAATATTGAATCTACAGTATGCTAAAGGTTCTGCTACTGAGCAAACTACCTGATAGTACCCCAAACCCTAAAATACTTGGGATCATATTACTTTCAAGATTTTTTTCCCCATATAATTCTTGTTATATAATTTACAGTCTATATAATTTAATAATAAAAGATTGCCTGCCCATGCTTTACAGCAGTGTTTCTTAACCTTGGCGACTTTAATTCCTACAATTCCCATGCTGGTGGGGGAATTCTGGGAGTTGAACTCCACACATCTTAAAGTTGTCATGGTTAAGAAACACTGCTCTGTAGCATGCTACCTAATTGCAGTGAGAAATGCTTCTGCTTTCCCCTCTGTTCTTTGTATTCTAATCAGTCTCTTGCAGGGGTGAAATCCAAAATTTTTCCCTACTGGTTCTGTAGGTGTGGCTTGGTGGGCATGGCAGGGGAAGGATACTTCAAAATCTCCATTCCCTCCCCACCTGGGGGAAGGATATTGCAAAATCAGCCAGAGGTGGTATTTGCCAGTTCTCCGAACTACTCAAAATTTCTGCTACTGGTTCTCTAGAACCTGTTAGAACCTGCTGGATTTCACCCCTAGTCTCTTGGCATACTGTATTTATATATCCCTTTGTCCAAGTATGACTTTCATGCCCCAGTTCCATTTTTCTCAAGTGCTGATCAGGAAAAATGGTTTTTAGCCCTGAAATGCAATGAAGACCTGAGTGAAACCTCGTTAAATCTGACTGAGTCCTTCTTCTGGCCTTCTCCTACATTAGAATGTCTCACGGATTTAGGAGCATTGAAAAGCTAACTGTGCCGAGCACAAAAAGGCAGTGTTTTCATACTGAAACCTAAGTTTTGGAATTCTCTACTTTCTGCCTCGACGTAAAGGTATCTAAAACTACTCTTAAAAATAAATAATTGGGATTTGGCTGAGCACAAATCCAAGAGTAGCACAAGTAGTTCATACATGATGGATTTTCAATATCCCACAATTTGAACCATTGAGGTGATATAAAAGATAAGAAACATCTCTACTAGTCATGTCTGATTTCAAGTGCTCTCTTCCAGGCATCCTTGAGTTGATAGAAAACTTCCTTGAATTGTACCAGCTTCAAATCTGATACCCCTC